TAGCCTGCCTGTAAAGGACACCTAATTTCAAAACCAGAGTGTCCTTTACAAAAAGGTGTCCTCTTACCGGAGAGTTGCTAAATAGTAAAAATGGTAATGTTGGAGATAAAAAACTGCCCTTTATAGAGAGGTATCCTTTAGCGTGAGTGTCCTCTCATGGAGGTTCTACTGTATTATTTTAAATATAAATATATGTTTAAGCAACCCCAAATTGAATGTATCTCTGGTAACAAATAAATAACACATTATAATAATTATATATACTGTGATATTATCAATTTAAACAAAGCGAAATAAAAATCAAACAAGCAACTATTAATTGAATTTGAAATAGGTTGAGAATACAATTAAGACAGATAGTATTTTGAAACAATGTTAGATTGAACAATATATATCGTTTTTTTTTATAGGAAGCCTTCGAAAAAAAATTTTTTTTTGTTATTTATGGGGAACCTGTCTAGTTTTTTTCTAACACACACACACAGTTTTATTAAAACCACCGGTCTTATAAAGATTCACCACAGGAAGAAAGGAAGAATAGATGAAGCTCTTGTAGTTTTTTCTAACAAGCTTTCTGTTATTTTTGTGAACGACTTTAGTGTTTAGTTCTTTGCGGAGAAAACCTTCCTATATATATATTCTGAGAACTTTCTAACACATGTTATTTCTAAGAAACTATGTAACCGTTTTTAGTTCTTTATAGGGTTCCTTATAACTTTTTAGTGATTTCTAGAAAGCCTTTCTTTATATTATATTTATTCTGGGAACTTTCTAACACATGTTCTTTCTAAGAAACTTTGTAACCGTTTTTAGTTCTTTATAGGGTTCCTTATAACTTTTTAGTGATTTCTAGAAAGCCTTTCTATATATTATATTTATTCTGGGAACTTTCTAACACGTGTTTAGTTCTTTATAAGAAACTTTGTAACCGTTTTTAGTTCTTTATAGGATTCCTTATAACTTTTTAGTCTTTCTAGAAAGCCTTTCTTTTTATTATATTTATTCTGGGAACTTTCTAACACATGTTTAGTTCTTTATAATAAACTTTGTAACCGTTTTTAGTTCTTTATAGGATTCCTTATAACTTTTTAGTCTTTCTAGAAAGCCTTTCTTTTTATTATATTTATTCTGGGAACTTTCTAACACGTGTTTAGTTCTTTATAAGAAATTTTGTAACCGTTTTTAGTTCTTTATAGGGTTCCTTATAGCCTTTTAGTGATTTCTAGAAAGCCTTTCTATATATTATATTTATTCTGAGAACTTTCTAACACGTGTTATTTCTAAGAAACTTTGTAACCGTTTTTAGTTCTTTATAGGATTCCTTATAACTTTGTAGTGAATTCTAGAAAGCCTTTCTATATATTATATTTATTCTGAGAACTTTCTAACACGTGTTTAGTTATTTCTAAGACACTTTGTAACCGTTTTTAGTTCTTTATAGGATTCCTTATAACTTTTTAGTGATTTCTAGAAAGCCTTTCTATATATTATATTTATTCTGAGAACTTTATAACACATGTTCTTACTAAGAAACTTTGTAACCGTTTTTAGTTCTTTATAGGATTCCTTATAACTCTTTAGTGATTTCTAGAAAGCCTTTCTATATATTATATTTATTCTAAGAACTTTATAACACATGTTCTTTATAAGAAACTTTGTAACCGTTTTTAGTTCTTTATAGGATTCCTTATAACTTTTTAGTGATTTCTAGAAAGCCTTTCTATATTTTATATTTATTCTGAGAACTTTCTCTAACACATGTTCTTTCTAAGAAACTTTTCAACCGTTTTAAGTTCTTTATAGGATTCCTTAGCCACGGTTATAGCCATGGTTAAAACACAATTGACCTTAAAACTTAGCATTAAGATGTTTTAAATGTTTGATCTCTTTCTTATTTTGATGAATGAAACTCATGACCTTACGTTTTGTTCTTTTGATAATACAAGAATGTCAGTGATCTTGTAGAATAAATTGGTGGAATCGCTGGGAAGGTTCATCACGCTGGATTAAGCCATATTTTTGTTATAGAAGAGGCTTGTATATAACAAAGTTACACTATATTTAAAGCAGAATAACTTGACGATGTGCTAAACGCTTGAAATATTGTCATTTTAATTTAATAAAGAAACTATTACAAATACACCTATCCCCCGATTTACACGGTACTTTTTTTACACGTTTTCGCTTTTACACGGTTTTCCAAATAAGTTTTTTTTTTGTTTTTATCGCACTATACTAAATGCTACTGTGATTGAACACATGCGCTGTGTACACATCTCACGAGGAATCCCGAGCTTATGTGCTGACTACATATTTTAACCTGTCAATGCATTTTATTTTTATTTCTGTGTACACCTATCCCCCGATTTACACGTTTTTCTCGGGAACGTATCTACCGTGTAAATCGGGGGATAGGTGTATTCGATAAAATAATCCCTTTAATCAATATTAAAAATAAAAACATTAAACCTCCAGGGAAATTTTTTAAAATTATTTCTTATATAAAAAAGCTATTCTCTTCCCGACTTGTGTTTCTTCTTCCATAAAAATAGTTTTATAAGTTGAATAAACACACCTGGAGTAATGTATTATCAAAAGATGAATACAAGTCGTTAGTTCTTTTTTTTTTATTATTTTGATACAAGTAGAAACTCTTCACATACAATTTATAAAGTCGGTGGACAAGTGGGTAACCCCCTCGATTCCCGACAGTCATAAACCGGGATTGAATCCCACGTTAAAATTTTGTTTAATATGTGAATAACCTTCACCTATTATTCATTGTTTCAATTATCATAAACTAGGTTGCTCTTGTTGAGCGGTACCTATTAATGTGATTTTGAACCAGGCTTCACCTTACAATTTATTCTTCTTTTGATAAAACAAGAGTTTTAGTGTGTGATCTGGTAGAATAAATTGGTGCAATCGCTGGGAAGGTTTACCACACGGATGAAACAATCCTTCTCAAATCTTTTTCATCATTGTTGGGAGCAAAGACTTTCCTATTCTAACATCAAGCAGAGTAATCAACAACAATTCCAAAAGAAACTTTTCCCTGGAGGCTTAATGTTTTTATTTTAATATTGAATAAAGGGATTATTTGATCGGATACACCTATCCCCCGATTTACACGGTAGATACGTTCCTGAGAAAAACGTGTAAATCGGGGGATAGATGTACACAGAAATAAAAATAAAATGCATTGACAGGTTAAAATATGTAGTCAGCACATAAGCTCGGGATTCCTCGTGAGATGTGTACACAGCGCATGTGTTCAATCACAGTATCATTTAGTATAGTGCGATAAAAACAAAACAAAAAAAAACTCATTTGGAAAACCGTGTAAAAGCGAAAACGTGTAAAACAAGTACCGTGTAAATCGGGGGAGAGGTGTATACAATAGTTAAAAGTTTAAGAGAGAAAGAGAAGGAGAAATGTTTATTTTATTATAACGATACAAAATAGAAGATTTCAAACTACAAAGTTCTTATACAGGTATGTAACTCGAATTCTAGTTCATTGGAGCTATACCCGTAGTAGAACCGTATAGTTTGAAAACTTCTGTGTTTATATATAACTGTTAGATCGTTTTAGAAGATAATTCTCAGATTTATAAAATTAATTTATTAAACTTTAAACATTTTAGATATATAAATAGAGATAAACGAGTTAATTATCTTGTATTTAAGGCAACAAAAGATTCATCTAATTTTTATACATTTTCTAACCAGATTCAACTTGTGCAAAAACAGACTACAAAGCAGAAAAAAAAAATTAATAATCGAGGGTAAGTTCCTATTTTTTATAAGCTTTCACACTCAAAGAATATTCAACTTCTTGCTTCTCAATAACGTTATAATATATACAGTTAAACCTGCCTATAACGCCCCCCTATAAATAGCGCCTTCCTCTCTATAGCCTCCGATTTTAAATACGTAGTACGATGCGATTTACATTAAAAGTGACCTGTCTATAGCACTCCCTCTCTATAGCACCATATTTTGGTGAGTCCCAAGAGGGGGCGCTATAAACAGGTTTAACTGTATATAAAAACATTTCTACCCTTCGTTCTTAAACCTTTTTTTTCGTTATATTTTAAAGGAAATTATATCTTCTTATATATATAAAAATCAATATTTGTATGTTTGTTTGTTTGTATGTCCGGTATACAAATTCGCAGTAGTTCACTAATTCAAACCAAAATTTCCATACATAGGTAAAAAAAAAATACGGGGAAGACGATAGGCTATTTTAAAAAATATATAAATCAATTATTAAAACTATATATTCAAATTATTCTACTTAGCTCACGAACAGCGCCCTCTATCAAAGATTAGATTAAATTATGCTGATGCAAACAAATAGATAATACTAATAACAAACAATTATTTAAAAAATCTTATCTAAAATATATATCACTCGGGTAGATATGCACACGGGTCAATCCCGGGGCGAAGCCGGGGTCACCCGTCTAGTTAATTATATAAACAATACAATAAGACAATGATACTCTCTCTATTCACTATAGAAGAACAAACCCAAGTCAGGGAGAAGAGCTTCTTTATATAAGAGGATGATGGTACAAGCTTTAAGGCAAGATGGCCTTCTACGAGTAAGTGTATATATACAAGGTTGTCCCTAAAGTTCGTAAACACTTGCAAAAAATTGAAATACAGTTAAACCTGTCTATAGCTCCCCCTCTTGGGACTCACCAAAATAGGGTGCTATAGAGAGGGGATGCTATAGACAGGTCACTTTTAATGTAAATCGCATCGTAGTACTTATTTAAAATCGGGCGCTATAGAGAGGAAGGCGCTATTTAGAAGGGGCGCTATAGACAGGTTTAACTGTACCAATATTATTCACCGTTATGTATAACTAACCGAATGACCCGATTAAATGCTTTTATTCAAATACTATTCGTTACAATTATAAATTGGCGCCGTGGATGTCATTCTTGTATAATATATAAATGAGTTTTAAAAATTGTAAAAAAAAAATGCATCGGCCGGGAATCGAACCCGGGCCGCCCGCGTGGTAGGCGAGCATTCTATCACTGAACCACCGATGGTTATGAGAAATGGCCATATTTGGGTATTTATTCCATTCACAAAAGCAAGCGGTGACAGAATTGATTAAGAAAGAATTGATTATGACGCTGATAACTGTATATATTAATGTCTTTGTATTATGTAAGTAATTGTATTGTGTATTATTATGCATTCGCGGTAAAAATAGCGTGAGTGTCCTCTCATACAAGTTCTACTGTATTAAAAATATCAGTTACATATTCTCTCAACTAATATGCAAATATACCCATACTACAACAAAAGAGATACGAAAACGTTCTAAAAAATAATAATGTTAATTCATACATTTTTTCCCCACAATTGAAACTCCGTCTAACCATTTTTTTTTTTAAAACGTCAAATTTGACCTAAAATGACAAGTTTTAAAAGCCTTCCATTCAACTCGGTAACAATGAAGTTGAGTAATTTTTCAAAGAATGAGGAAAAAATGAGGAAATTGTACCTAGAATTTCCTTTCACGGAATTTAATGGCTAGAGGAGGAATTATCGCCCCACAAAAATGTTTTTTAATACGTTTATTCGACGCTACAGTTATTACCTATTGTTCTTCTCATATCTAGGTTACAATTTAGTTTTTTAAAGTCAAAGTAATTTACTCTGTTTTAAGGTATATTACTTACCTAACCTTTACCATAGGGTTTCTATATTACGATGCACTAGCGCGCCATCTGTTATCAAATTACGAAACTATTTTAGACGCGTAATATTCTTTTTAAAATAAAACAATTTCTACTGCCCTTACTGCAATGGAAAAATTGAAGGGAGGGCCTGGCTCATCAGTGGTGAACTCTCCCAGCGGTTTCACCAGTTTAATCTACCATACCGCTGTTATATTGCATTTTTGGTAACAATTTATTCCGCCTTCTACATGCTAACAGGTAAGCATTTTAAGGCTCTATATTGCATTTTTGGAACTTCCTTTTATAGTGATACTGATGCTTGACTCTTCGAATGGGTATTTTAGATGAACTATGGACATAAGCTTTTAGGACAGCAGAATTACATATAATTATAAATATATAATATGCTTCGAGCAATCGCTCTTCCGCAAATATCAATTTGTGTCTTTTATTCAAACAATTATATTACGATGCACTAGCGCGCCATCTGTTATCAAATTACGAAACTATTTTAGACGCGTAAGTTTCTATAGTGTAGCAAAGTATTTATTATTTTATTAACAGAATGTCTCTCAGTTTTAATGTCTATATTTTGATACTCTTTAAAATTCCCTCATAGCTTATATATATTTTTTGTCATTCATAGTTTGCATTCGCCCTAAATAACTTGCTGTATCATCCTCGAAGTTTGTCTTTCCTAATTTTCCACGTTGTAATATAACCTATTTTATCTGATATCAAAGTAAAACGTTTATGGAGATGAGTAACTTTTATTCCGGTCTTCTCAAGCTTTCGGGCTTGTCCGCCCTTCTACAGGAGAAACATATACAATATATCGAGAAAATATAACGCCGCCTGATGCGCCGTTTTAGCATCAGGCGGCGTTATATTTTCTCGATATATTGTATATGTTTCTCCTGTAGAAGGGCGGACAAGCCCGAAAGCTTGAGAAGACCGGAATAAAAGATACTCATCTCCATAAACGTTTTACTTTGATATCAGATATCTAAAGGAGATTTAAATTTATTCATCTGATAACCTATTTTATACTGCCTTCAAATTCTAATATGGGATTTGAAAACAGCCCGAATTTAATTAAAACATTTTTAACGAATATAGATTCCAGTTCCTGTTCCAAAATAACTTTATTAGGTACCATTAAAAAAGAGCAATCTAGCTTATGATATTTACAGTGGTTAATATTAAAAATAAAAAAGGCATATCTCCTGACCAGGAGCACATGTGCTTTTCAGAAGGCAGAGCGCCATCTGGTGGAACAGAAATCAATTAAACATTGATTTAACCTGTTCCCTGATATTTGGCTAACCCAATTTCTTGATAAATCAAGAAAAGCTATCCACGAACGCGTTTCGCGCTGTTGGTGCTCGTCAGTGTGGAGTAGGCTGTACCACTGAGAACCAAAAATATTTTTGGTCCCAGAGGCTTCTTGAGAAACCAAGAAATGGGTATTTAAGGCCAAACTTGCGTAAATACGCTTAAAATATGAAAAAAAACAATAGAAAAAAAGGTCAGGTGTTAATATTAAAAATAAAAAGTGGATAATATGTACAGGTTCTTCATATTTACAGCGTATTTGCATATTTACATGGCTGGAGTCTTGTGGTGAGGGATCTTGGATTTGCAATGTTCCTTCTTCTGTGAAATGGGCTGTTTTCCTAGATTTTTTTTCTGACTACTTGTTTTTTATTTCTTTTTCCTACTTCTCTACGTTTATTCATAATTGATATAACGAATATATATATAGATTAATTTAACAGTTAACTTAGACAATTTTTTTAATAATATGCAAATCAAATATTTACATATAAGCAATTATTTACATATAAGTAATTATTTACATAATGCATTAGCGCCCTATTTAGTTTTTTAAAGGAACGAACACGTCAAAATAGTTTAAATTTATTTTAATATTTTCTCCGATTTTTTAAAAGTTATATACAAATGACCAGATATACCAGGTATATAGATGTGTGTTTTTTTTTATATAAAACTAGCCGAATGACCCGGGCAACGCCCGGGTTTTACCCGATTAAATGTTTTTATTCAAATACTATTCGTTACAATTATAAATTGGCGCCGTGGATGTCACTCTTGTGAAACGTCCCGCTCCAAACTTTGTGTCAGAGAAGCGATATTTTTATAAAGAGATAATCTGGCTTTGTGTCTTCGGCTAGAATGAATGTTTTTCTATTAGAATTTTGTTCCTGCACACTAAAAATGAACTGGCTTCACCCGTGGTCTCAGCTTTTTGGAATTTTTCCCGATATAATTTTGTATCTGATAATCAAACATGATACAGCAATATTGTCATCATCATTTTCTGACTAAAAAAACAACTATTTTTGCCCAGAACCTGTCAATTTTATTTTTTATTGGTTAAAAATCCATAAATATATTTTCCAATTTTTTCTCTATGTCCTGTCAAAACACGTTTTACATGTACATTAGGTCAGCTGATATCACCTCCCATCTTCACCGCTAGAGGCGCTGCTTGCGAGCGAAAAGGCAAATTTGCAACGCAATTTGCAAATAACTCGAAGAATATTCGGGATAGAGACCTGAAATTTTCACTATAAGTTTTTCCAGATTCTACTCTATATACTGTTAAAATTTCAGTCAGATTAGTTAAGTATTGTGGACGTGTATAGCCGACATAGATACCCACATACATACATACATACATACATACACTGACTTTTATATATATAGGGATGTTACGGTGTGATAAACCCCCTTTTCAAAATGTTCTTGATTTCTTTTTAATTGCGATACTATAATCACATTTACTGAATTATTTATCACTTTTAAAATTACGTTTATTAATTTTTTAGCATTATTTGTTTCTATTTTTAACTTTAGGTAAGAAATGTATCGCATAAAACCACTCTCTTTTCAATTAATTATTAAAAAATTATCCATGTTTGGCAATACAGTGATATTATCTAAAATAACATGCACTTTTTGACTTCGTTATTCTTCCTTAATTGGGATGATAATGAAATAGAGCAAAACGTAAATCTTGGATGTAATTTATTAGCATTGATGATAAAGATGGACAACCTATTAAGAATAATACACAATATAATGCGGCTAATGATTGTAGAACGATGTTTGACAATTATACCGCAAATGTTTCTTTTTGAACGAAAAATATAAATTTTAAGGAGAAATAACGATTATTTCTAACCTTAGGGATGAAGTATAAAAGTATGAATTGTAAAGAGTAATGATAAACACGGAAAAATAAAGTGTCCAGGAATGGGAATCGAACCCACAGTGGTCTGCTTACCGGGCAGATGTTATTTCCACTAGGCTCCACTAAGAATCCAAATTGTTTTCAATCTGCAATGATTATAGATAATTCTACATTCCTTAGAATGTTATGTAACAACAGTACCGCTATCTGTTGAATCTTCTAAATTACAAATTAGGATGAAGACATTCAGTGAATTGGTTCACCAAGGCAACCATTATGCAAACTTGGATGGAATTCCTTTGAGAAATCAGTAGAATAAGACTTAGGACAGTCTGGAGACACTTGGTGAACTGGTTCTTTAGGCTGAATAAACATAAGACTGTAGAAACTTGGTGAACTGGTTCTTTAGGCTGAATTGATATAAGACAGTCTAAAGACACTTGGTGAACTGGTCCTTCAGCCTGCCAAGACATAAGACAGTCTGTAGACACTTGGTGAACTGGTTCTTTAGGCTGACAAGACATAAGACAGTCTGGAGACACTTGGTGAACTGGGTCTTTAGGCTGACAAGACATAAGACAGTCTGTAGACATTTGGTGAACTGGTTCTTTAGGCTGAATAGACATAAGACTGTAGATACTTGGTGAACTGGTTCTTTAGGCTGAATTGACATAAGACAGTTTGGAGACACTTGGTAAACTGGTCCTTTAGCCTGCCAAGATATAAGACAGTCTGTAGACACTTGGTGAACTGGTTCTCTAGGCTGAATAGACATAAGACAGTCTGGAGACACTTGGTGAACTGGTTCTTTAGGCTGACAAGACATAAGCCAGTCTGTAGACATTTGGTGAACTGGTTCTTTAGGCTGTCAAGTCATAAGACAGTCTGGAGACACTTGGTGAACTGGTTCTTTAGGCTGAATAGACATAAGACTGTAGACACTTGGTGAACTGGTCCTTTAGCCTGAATAGACATAAGACAGTCTGGAGACACTTGATGAACTGGTTCTTTAGGCTGAATAGACATAAGACAGTCTGTATACACTTGGTGAACTGGTTCTTTAGGCTGAATAGACATAAGACAGTCTGGAGATACTTGGTGAACTGGTTCTTTAGGCTGAATAGACATAAAGACAGTCTGGAGA